CATATTATTGTATTATTCGTATCTCTCTGTTTTTCTTTTGGATTATCATGTTCTGTGTTATGTAGTCAATAAAAAGGATATGAAATGGTAATATTTTTTATGTCTAAATAGATAGATAGATAGATAGATAGAAATGCTCATGATTATACAATATTTCATAAGATTCAAAAAAGAAAAAAAAAAGAAACATTGATTATATGTAGAAGAATAATTACTGTGAGGTATTTCCCTTTCGAAGAGACAAAAAAAAAGTAAGAAAGAAAGATGTTTGTTTTAATTATTTGTATTGATAACTTGCCAATGAAGAATGACCAAAAAATTTTAATTGATTCAAAATCGTTGAAGATATTTTTCGATCATGTGAAAAATATGTTTTCTTTCTAAAGGTTTTTTTTTCTTTTATTAATGAAATTCACTTAATTGAAATATGATAATAGAAATACAATTCCGAACAAATTAAACTAATATTTCAAATTTTATGTTAATTTTCTAATGAATGAATGAATAAATGAATGAATAGAGAATATCAAAAAGAAGAGAAATGTTTTTTTTTGATAATTTTATAATGTTTTTCAGAAAAAGAAAAAGAAAACGAAAGAGAATATCTTCCCTTATTATGAGAATAACTTTTGAAATTTAGTCGAAACACGATAATATGGTAGATATTACACAAGAAATTTGAATAATCTTTTTATTTTTTCCTCCTTTATAATCTATCTGTCTTTTCATATATCCTTTCACTTCTCTCCCTTCTCTTTCTATTTCAGTTCATCCATTACGTGCAAGTTCCATTGATATTCATCCAAATGCTCGATGGCAACAGAATGGTCTCACTGTCGCTGGAGGAAATCGAGATGGCAATGGAATCAATCAACTCTCATACCCATGTGGTTTATATGTGGATGATGATCAAACAATTTATGTTGCTGATCGATCGAATCATCGTATTGTTGAATGGAAAAGGGGTGCGACGAGTGGCCAAGTGGTTGCAGGTGGAAATGGAAAAGGAAGTGGAACTCATCAATTGTCTGACCCATTAGATGTGATTGTCGACAAAGAGACTGATAGTCTCATCATCTGCGACACTTCGAATAAAAGAGTAGTTCGATGGCCTCGTCAAAATGGAACAAGTGGAGAAACAATCATCTCCAACATCAATTGTATGAGTTTGACAATGGACGAGAATGGATCTCTCTATGTTGTTGACGATGGAAAAGCTGAAGTGAGACGATATCGAAGAGGAGAATCTCAAGGAACAGTGGCTGCAGGTGGCAATGGACGTGGAAATCATCTCGATCAACTCTATCACCCACAATACGTATTCGTCGATCGAAATAATTCAGTATATGTGTCTGATTGGGGAAATGATCGTGTGATGAAATGGGTGGAAGGTGCAAAACAAGG